TATAATCAATCTTTATACTAAAAACTTTATGTTCCAGTTCAAACTAATATTTTTAATACTATTTGTTTTACAATATTTAATTAGTTGGAAATATTATTGATTGGAAATAGACTTAAAAGCAAATATGATATAAAATTATGCTAGACTTTGAATAAATTCAATATAAGTATATTAACTTTTTCTTTTGCATATTTTTTTAGATTTTAATGCATTTTTTAAATCAATGAAGGGAACTAAATAATATAATTAATAAATGAGAGATTTTATAATAGAGGTATAAGGGAAAAATTGATTTTAAGATTAGTGAAAGCTACATTTCAAAAAAGACTAATCTACTCTTTGCTTTGATTTACATCATACCCTATTAAGTTTTTCAATTTATATACTAAAGCAAGTACCTTTTTAGTGAATCAAGATATATCCTTCTAAGAAACCTAAATCTGTATTCCATTCAGTAATTTAAGAACTTTCTAAACATTAACTATGCAATGATATTTCATCTTCCTTAGCACTTCTAAACTTAATATTAGAAGATTTATCTAAAATTTATTGAGATGTTCATTTTTGAAACCTTTAAGTAAGATCAAAGTTTTCATCCTTTCATTATGAAAATTATTAATTTATTAAACAGGGATCCACATGAAATAGGGACGCTATAGATTTATCTCTATGATTTCAACCAACGTTTGAAAATTCCTCAACATTCATATTGTTTTGAAAGTGACAGATTATTTCACTTTTTTTCCTTTTTTCTGTTAATTGTTGATATTTCAAACAATATTTTATGTCATTCTAATTCATTGCTCTCTCTCTCTATTTCAATTTACTGAATAGAACTTAGTGATATCTTAATATCAAATCATGTGACTTCTTATTAGGTTAATATTAATTCATAACAAATGATTATTATTAAAGTATTCAAGATATAGTCAATAGCATCATTAAGAATTTATTTTAGTATTTTTTGACTTAAAAGTTACTAATAAAAATTTAATCTTAAAATATTGAGCTTTATGAACAGCGATTGAGATTAGGGCAGACAAAAAAGAAAAAAATTTAAGATTGAAGAGAGCCAAAATGCACTGGTGAGACAAGTTTCGAGGAGAAGGATGCCTAATTATTAGCTTATACCTAGAATATCCAAAACAAAAGGATCTTTACATTAAGGAAATGATCGAGATGAAAAGAAATATTTGAATGATAGAAGAAGGAAACGAAAAAAAGGAATAAGTATGGAGAATGGATAGCTAACATTATTAGTAATGGAAGTTTAGATTTGGAATTTTTAAATTTGTGATAGAGAACTTGCATTATTCATTGTATTAAAATAGGGAGATCCTATGAAACTTTTAGTGTTAGATTGAATAATAATTAAGGACCACTTTTATGAATAGCATAAAAACTTAATAATATAGATTGAAAGGGAAATTCTACATCTGGTGATGACCTTGTTTAAGTAATTGGTGGAGGTATTTGAGAAGAGTGAAAATTATGAAATAAAGTTATATTAAGAATAGAGTGAAGAATTCCATAAAAAAATACAAGAAATAGAAACAAACTCAAAAAGAAAATATCATCAATAAATTTAATAAACATAGAATATCAGAAGACAAAGAAGGAGGGAATGTTTCAAAATATAATCTATAAGGTGATAACTCATATTGTTCTATTATCATTACCATTGATTTAGCAATCAATTCCTAATTCCTAAGTAAATTTCTTTTACAATTTCTTCTAATTGATTAATTTAATTCCTGATTTTAGAAATTGGATTTGTCAAATTTAGACAAAAAAATCTTCACACCATACCTGAGAGTCAATAAATTCAACCTTATGATTCACTTGTAATTCTTCTAAATACCCTTGAAAATCTAAAGATTCAAATAAAATCTATACCTAAATAATAAAAGCCCTTAAAACTCAAATCATTAAAGAGTTCATAATAAAAGTGGAGTTGATTCTAGTATTTTGAAATATCAATTTTCTGAATAATACTCCAATACTTTAATTTTGTTACATTATTGTAATTCGCAATATGAGATTTATAGATTTGTTTGTATTCCTAAAAATTAGATTTCTAGATTAAAATATTTATATATATAAACTGAAATTAGTGAATCAAGCAACTACTAGCCCAATCATAAAATATTCACTAATTTTTGTAACAAGTAAATCTTAAACTATTTTTTTTAGAATAAAGCATTCAATAATTTTTCAAGTAGAGTAATCAGATTTATTTTTTGATCATTAACTCATATTCTTTTTTTTCTTAACTCTGTTCATTCATATTAAATTTTTGCTAAATTATTAGATAGCAATAATATAAAAACGATTAAGTTCAATTGATCCAAGATTATTTTATTTTAAAAGTTGTTGATTTTATATTTTTGATAATTTACTACTTTTTTATTATAGTTTAAAGTTTAACTCAGTTATGATTTTATCAAAAAAAGTGTAATGTAGTTTTAATATTATTTCTATATTCCTTAAATCTTTAATTCAAAAATAGCATTTTAAAATATTAATTTGATGTTTATTAAAAGCCATTCCTCAATTACATTATATCAACGAAACTCCTAAAAACTCAGATTTTTAGCCTTCCCTTTCACTATAAAGAGAGGGAACAATTAGGATAGTAAAACCAAACCCAGCTAAAACACTATTAATTCATACGATCTTTTACTTGAGGTGGTTAGATGACCTAATCATAACTACTATCTTATTTTTTCTCGTAAATTTTTGGTAATTCAATTCAAAGATTAAAATATGTTAATTTTAATTATAATTGAAGTTAAAATTCATGAATTAGAGAAACAAATGTGGCGCTCGAAAATTTAATTTCTTTATCATTTTTTTTAACAGTTTGAGAAGCAAACTTAGAAATTCAATAGGTAGGTAGTCTCATAAAAATTGTAAAAAAGGATATTGATGCAAATTTATTAATATAATACTGATTAGAATGCATTCTTAATAATCATTACATTTCAAATTCGCTTTGCTTAAATTTAAAAATTATAA